TTGGTGCGTTATGGACGTTTGAAGAGATGGGTAAAATTGGCATTGACTAATATTCATGTCCGATTGGAAAAAAGGAACAGCTGTGGGGTAGGGGACTGGATCAAGTTTGAACGGCAGCTTTTCTGGCCAATCGGTCCTCCAGTGAACAACTATTGGCCCAAAGCTCAGCTGCGAAGTGTGTTTAGCAGCGTAATGTTGTATAGCACCTTCAAAGGCGTAGAGTCTCGAGTTGTGCTCGCACCCACTACAAGCAAATAGTTCCCTTCCAAACTGGTCTGTCAATGGCCTGATCTTATTATCAAACACGAATTTCATGTTCTCTAATGTCAACCTTCGAGTAGTAGGCACTTCTAAAGTTGCTTTACCAACTCGAGTTGTAGTATCAAGAGGGTTAATGCGGTGGGGATCATCCGTAGAGTAAGGGGTTTCCTCATAGAACCGACGCCTGCAATAGCTCAAAACATCAACTGCGAACTTCGAGGCAGTGTCTTTTGTGATGCAGCCAAGCCAATGTTTGGTAATTTCATCGGCGTATATTATCAGCCTTGCACGCACAGGAACCTGGAGTTCGTCCCATTCAATTTCTTTTCTTTCCTTTGTTTCTTTTTGCTTCTGCTCTAGAATCTTTCGATCTTCGTGCAGCAACTTTATCTTTAGTGGACCGGTTTTTCCATAGCTCTGTTCATCTTCATCTGAGATTTGTTTTAATAACTTAACTTTGAGGTTTTCCCAAGCGTACTCAGTGAGAGGAAGTGGTATTTTGATGGCAGCTTGAAACGCTGGCAACTGAGCCAAAAATTCTGGCTTCAGAAAAGGTCTCATTTGAAGACAGCGGAATTCGATGTCGGCGCGACGCTTAGATTTCACTTCTAATGCTTCGTGGACAGTATGCTGTACTTGAACAGAACCCGAAACCTGAGAAGAATCAAATTGTTTGAAATCTGTGAAAGGCATTAGCAACCAATTATGGACGCTAATCTCACTGCGGTAAATATAGGACAATGTTCGATGATAGTAGGGCCGATGATAGGTAAAATGTAGGGGGGAAGCTGGGATCTCAATAAAGGGTCCATCATACAGTTATTAGCCCCACCAGCACTTTCCGGTTCACAGAGCAGAAGGCCAGCTTTTGATTCTATACTCACGGCACTCGATTTTGTAACTGAGCTATTGTCGAGATTCACGCTTGGATTTTGATGCAGAGCAGGCCCTTCCCGGCACTGGTCATCATTATGAATATTCCCAGGCTGCACAATATATTCTTTCTGTAGCAAATCTCCCTGTAGCAAGCCAAGTTTTGCGCCGTCTCCACCTGGATAGGAACCACCTGCGCACGCTGATCGGGGATCTGACCCGTTAATCTTCATATTTTCGAATCTTTCAATTCTTATGATATCTAGCTTATGGGCCATTCCTTCGGCTTCCAGGCATTTCAACCATTCTTCCTGGGCTTTCATATCCTTTGCTTCTTGATATCTTTCGAGTATGTCTTGAATATCAGCATTCCAAAATATTCTCGTCAGACCGATATTTGGTTGGTAATGTATCGAGTTGGAGATCCAGTTATTGCGCAAGTCAACGATTCCAAATGGTAAAGGGGTCAATAAAACGTCAGGAAATGACTCAGATGAGAGAAGCACAAATTCCTGAAGAAGTACAATGATTAATACTAAACGCCTGCAGGGGCGTGGTAGTCTTGCCCTCACCTTCGTAGTATTTTCCTCCAAACACACTTTACAGCATCTCACCCGGAAAGGCCAATAAATCACTGCCTTTCTAGCTTTGACGTTTGGTGGTCTGCTACTATGTTCTCTTCTGGACGCACCTTTTTCACAAAGCATGCACCCAGTTCCCAGAATAAGACTTAACATCTCCGATTCATCTAATCCAAACACGGGTTTTGGGTGGTCTGGGAGATATCTTTTTCTGCTCCTTTTCCAGATATTTTCATTATCCAAATAGCTTTTAAATAACTTGCAGGTACGACGCTGGCGGCCCAGCTCAGCCGGGTGTAGCAGGGAAAATATATTGGCCCATATAACTTCTGGAAGTATAAAACAAATGGTTTGTTCAAGGGGGGTTCTCGAGTTGGGAGAGGTAGTAGCCCTTGCTCGCTTGAACTCTGCGGGGGTCCTGTGATATTCGCAGTCGGAAACAGCACGTTTTCGACTCACAGCTTCAAGATTGAGAGCTTCCGACGTATCAGGGCTGAAAACAGAAGGAGAGCCCGACTGAGAGTTACCAGTATATATGTCCTCTTCGGAGCGGTAATCATCCCCTTCTTCGACGCTTTCGTAAAACCTCTGATGGATAGTAGTACAATTGGGACCAACCCGAATCTTGCGGAAGGCTGTCATATCCAGAGTTTTCTCTAGAGTAATACCTTAAACTGTGAACTGCTCGCTTGGTAGAGGAATACGAGAGGAACTAGGGATGATCAAAGAAACCTCTTAGAGAGTCGAGAAATAAATTTGACAAACCAAAGCTTCAAACACCGAAAAAGTACGTACAGTTAACACAAGAAAGAAGTTGGCAGGATATTTGTATTGTAGGCGCCGTTTGTAGGCCCGAAGAATTGTAGATACCTGCCAGTATGGGGCTACGATGTAAGGGGTGAGTAGGACCAAGAAATGTGTAAGGATATGTACTTACAGCTAGCTCTGGGCGGCTTGTACGTAAGTACCTCCATACGTCAGAGCTCATAGCTAGTGAATCATGGTAGGGTAACAACTATAGTCCTTTCCGGGTCAATGGCGAACCTGGTTCAATGGCGAATAGCACTTATTGGAAGGACCTCACTCCATGCAAGTACATGTACGTACTCGTAGTTTTTTGGCGTTCCCGGACTGGGTCTGCATACCACCAAAATATGGTTGTCAAGCACGATTTACGCCCATATGCAGACCCAGTCCATTCCGGAATTTAAACGTCAAAAAACTACGAGTATATAAGAGTCCTTGGGTCATGCAATATCTACTATTATACATGTATATATATACAAGTAGTTTCCGGTACTACATGTATATCAATCAGTCCAATATACAGGCAAGCCGCTTTGCGGCTTATTTTCTCTATTTACCTGTTAGTCGAGGCTCTCAGGCCGCTGCGCGGCCCTCGACCCCTCCTGACAGGCAAAGTCCATCACTATATCTACTCTAGTCGATATGTGCCTTTTCTGATATCCTCCATATATCAGTGGACAGGTCAGACAATTTCTCCAGTTCAAGCTGCAAGTATATCCCTTTAGCAGCCACCAAGCCGCTAAAATCGAACTACTAATCGATTCGGCCAGAACCAGTAGAAAACCTATTAATAATCTAACACCACTCAGCACAATACCCTATGTTCATATCCAACACATGTTTCAAATGAAACAAAACCTCTCTCAATGTCGAGCCAATCAGAAGCTTTTAAATGCACAAGCATATGCAGGTTATAATTATATACTTATTAGATTAGATGGTCAATACAAACAAGCAGGTAGAGGGGGTCATAACTTTAGATAATAAGGAAAGTATCTACAAGTAACTACTGTACGTACGTAGCCGTTTTGCACGAAGATAAATTTAAATGGAAAGGGCTATATATTATTCGGATGAGGCAGCATGATCTTGCATTACCCGGCTGGCTTGGTATACAGTCATTCACGGTATTTTCCGTCTTGGCATTAAACTTTCGACTGAGCCTCAATCCAACCTTCAATATCGTTACCACGATAAATCAATTAACCTGACCAGAATGCTCCGACGACTCGTCATACCATAGCTACAATACCGTACACACAGCTAGTAGCTATGTTTATACTTGTGCGACCTCTCCAGGCCCAATCCCTAGAAAAGGAGCAGCACTGACGGAGAAAATTGTAGTCCAGCTTCACCGACCTAGTCATAATCGATCCCCAGGACTTCTCAAAGCCGACTGTCGATGCGCTTGAGGACCAGATCAACACCAAATATGCGAACAAGGTTCATTTCTACCGGATTATGTAGTTTTGCGCCAAGCTAGTTGGCTAACAGGTGTGGGATGTGTACAGGTCGTCTACAACATTGGGCTCTGTATCTGCCTATGGGACATCCTCAAAGTCAGCGAGGGCATGGTAGGGCATGGTAGTGGTTCTGCTCACGTCAACGGTACGCCAACCCATTCAATCTTTAACTTCTGTTCGATACTGATATGGGGGTGTAGTTGAATTTCGACTGGTCGTTTTCCGCCCGTTCAAGGGCGAAGTTCTCACAGGCCGTATTTCCTCCTCCACAGCACACGGGATTAAAGTACGAACAGATTTCTTCGACGAGATTTTTATTCCTCACCGCCTATTATTTGAGGGCACGACCTTCGACGGTAAGGAGCAGGTTTGGATATGGAATAACGACGGGCAAGAGTTCTACATGGACAAGAACGAACTCATCCGGTTCAGGATTGAGGAGGAACAGTTTGTTGACCAGCTGCCGATTCCACCCCATCTAAAAAACGATGAGGCAAGCTTGCATAAGAAGCCACCGTATTCGCTTACGGCTTCTTGTCAACAGGCTGGGATGGGGCTTTTGCAATGGTGGCTGGATGATGAGGGCGAGGGCGAGGGCGAGGGCGAGGAGCAGGAATAATGTTTTGGAGTTGTATGTAAGCGGGATGGTGTAACGCCTGTGTTTTACTTTCAGGTTCTTATAAGCCAAATTACTTTGCGCTCCCTCTCAAAACTACATATAAGTGTTGATGTCCACCACGAAGAATATCCTACGAAATTAAAGGATTGGTACGAAAAATGGTTGCCAGAGAAAACACCCCAAGGAAATATAACTAACTCGGATTTGGTATTATCACTAGGGTTTGAGACTATTGAGTCAAAACACGCATGCTGAGTATAATATCATAAAAAAAAACAAAGCTCGACGTTTTCAAAACTAATATCACAATTCGAATTGAAACAAGTCAGTGGTTCTTGACAACCATGCCTAATCCCATGCGTAAAAGGCTAACATGCAAATAACATCATTCGTTCCTCAAAGTTCATCGTCATCATCACTTCCCAACAGCTCGCCTTCATCGTTGTTGACAATCGAGTAATCTGCCCCTCTCGCAAATGACTGTCTGCTAGTATACCGCCTCGTCCTAGTAAACTTCCCTCCAACCCAAGTGCCAATTGCCTGCAATATTGTGGGAATCGACACAACAACCGCCACGAGAGCTGCAATGACGATGATAGGATATCTGATAAAAGGACTCTGTCCGCTTGAGTCTTCCCCAAGCCTAATAGCACCAAACCGACCATCCAATATTTTTGTCCAGACGAACCAACCGATTCCAAACGCGGCCGCGATAGGTGTAACCACAGCGAGGAAGAGCATAAATCCCTTAGCGCCGCGCCCCCGTTTTTTCTCGAAATCTTGTTCGTGGCCAGGACAGGGCTTTGGTGTGGTTTTCTCGAGTTCATGGCCACCCTCGCAGGTGGAATAAGGAATGCGGCGGTAACCCGTGGGTTCAAAATATTCTATCGCGTTTTTATCCTGTGTACAGATGGCCTTGTGATCTGGAGGACTGTAGCCCTTGACTAAGCCACAAGTTCCATCATTTTGTCGTTCATAATTGAAATCACTATGCAGCACAAGTCAGCAATCAAACAAAGCCAACACAACCTAGTAAAGACACTCGGATCACAGACCATTCAAAATCTCGGTTGCTGCACGGGCAATTCTTTACAATTTTATGCGAATTTTCGAGTGATCTTCCAATATAACAGTTGTGCGATGGGATTTTACGGGCGTACTCTGTTACGCGCCCAAACAGACAACCAGGAAGGCCTGCAGGGTGCTTCGGCGACCAAACTTCGAAATCGTCACTATTCGCTTCATCACCCTCCTTTAATTCACCTATATAACATGGTTAGATATCAATATTTAGGGTTAATGAATTTCAGCAGAAGACTTACATTGAACATCCGTGATTCCAGTAAAATCAAGTTGAATTGTCAAAAACTCGTCTCCGCCACCTTCTTGTCTACCCCAAAGGATAAACTTTCTACTCGTATCAGTCGGCAGCGTCGAGATATCTTTGACAACAACCTTCTCGTCCTTGTCCGCAAATATGTACTCATGCCAGTTTTCACCCTCGTCAAGGGTATACACTACACGGTCTGTCGCAGCCATTACATCTACGATGACAATGATGGAACCTTGGTCACCATACTCCCACATATGCTGTCCTTTTCTAACCTCCTTCCATGTGATGCCGCCGTCCCTGGTCATAAAGGTATCGCCGTCTCTATAACCTGTAAGTTCTCTTCCGACGTTCCCAACACCCAACATCAAACCAACAGCAGAGCCAGATGCGAATGTGTCCCTGGGATCAGTTCGCTCGGTGTAGTGGTGTAGATTTAGATGGCAATCATCTACATTTTTGGGATTGCAGGAGTAGTCCTTGTTCTCAGAGTCTTTCCCCTCAACCTGAATGTATTCCCACGTTGCTCCATCATTATGAGTAATCAAACTTTCCAGCTTCTTCTTCTCCCCATCTAAAGCTTTCTCCGCATTAGTGACACGGTTTGCGATGGCGACTCCCTCAAGACTGTGCATTTTCTCGAAATCGACGAAACCAAGTTCGTTCCTATTCACGGCATCAAGAGAGAGAACATAGTTTGTGCCGTTGAAATTTGACTTCAGAAGACTCCCGTATTCGAATCCTTTCTTCGGGTTGACAGTTACATGCAAGAAAACAGAATGTGTATTCGAGTCCAAGACTGTATATGCTGTTTGGTGGGGAACATTGAAGTTATGTGGGAACTTAGCTTCGGCGAAGTTATAACCATCGACCGATGCTGATGCCTTTAGAGAGGTTTCATCCTCATTGATACTTGCAACAACGATAAACTCGGCTATTGTCGCATAACCGATAATATCATCGAAGTGCTTTTTTTCATCATCGAAAAAGTTGTCACTAGCAACAAGTTCAATGTTGCCAGAGCCATTCTCCTTCGCGTCATGTTGACAGAAAATCAACTTCTCAGATTGGACCTTTTGCTTCTCGCCACGAACCCACTTGCAAGCTCCAACGTATTCAAGTAATTCATGCCACTCAAAACCGTTGTCTTTGGTATAGTAAGCAACTGCATGACAGGTTTCTGATTTGTCGCAATCTGCCTGGCCGGTCCAGATGAGCCAGTTCTTTTTTGTCGGGTGAAAATCCATTACTTGAAGGTTCCGCCTGTTAGGTTTTGAAGGGACTTTGTCCATTTTCTTGAAATTGCGGCCGCGATCTTGGGTGTACCAAACCTCGGCATCTGGTGTAATAAAATAGACAGAATCGTAAAAGTAGGTGTTGGGGTAGATCGACACAACCTCGACATCTTTGAGAATTCGCTCCCATTTTTCACCATGATCATGGGTGAGCCAAATCTCTTGCTTCTCCGTTCTCATTATAATAGTCTAGTAAGGACAGATAGGGTTAGTTGTATTCGACCCTCAATAGATAAGATGTCCTACCTCATCCTGGTTACTAGAGCTATCCGATTTCTCAAGATAGTAATACTCTGCAACTTGGGAGCCCGGGAACGATTTCTTTCTATTAACGATATCACCGTTGGACGGAGGCGCAGTAGCAGCTAGTTATGTATGGTTAGCCTTTGTGCGGGAATAATTCTGAGGGATCTTTACCATCTTTACAACTTGTCTCCACCTTCTTATCCAAATCTTTCCCACCCTCACAATCATTGCCCGGAATTTTACGGTAACCACTAGATCCCATAAATGTGTCTTCAGGCTTCTTGCATTCCCCGGAGGGAGTGGGAAATTTTGCGCCCTTCGCCTTAACACACTTATCCTTTCTCTTTCCGTTTTCCCTGACATAATTGAAGTCACACTCAAAGTCTTCTTCTGTGCACTTGCAAACATCTTCTTGAGGCTCAGGATCCTTATAAAGATCGTCAATATAACACTTCGCGTTTTTCTTCCGCCTCCAGAAAAATTGTTTGTGTCCCATCAGGCAGTCTGGCTCGCCATCCTCATCAAGTCGAGCGTACCACTTTTCGAGGTCATCATTTTTGTCGCTCTTATCAGACTTACACTTACGATCGAATACGTTAGAAAAGTCAATAGAGAAAGCAATAGTTTTTCGGTCTCTATTGGTTCCAATAAGAGTGAAGAACAGAGATGTTGAATCCGGCGTCGTTGTAAGCAACCTGGCACGGACTTTTTCATCCAGCTTGACTGAATCCCAATCATCGCCGTGATTAATTGAGTAGAAAACCTCGTCAGTCATCTCCTCATCGTTGATGGCGACAATAATTGAGCCAGAGCCTCCAAACTCATACTTGTGAGCTTCTTTACGCACACGGTTCCATGTGAGACCCGCGTCATCTGAAAGATATAAATCACAATCCGTATAGCTTTCGAGGTATTTGCCAGTATTTCCAACTCCCATCAGAATTCCGGGGGCTGGGCTGGAGAAAATTCGCCCCCCATTTGCTAATGCGGTGACTGAAAAAAGGTGAAGATCATCACCATCCTTCGTCTTAAGAGGCTTCCAGGTATCAAACTTTCCGTCATCGAAAGAAATCCTTGAAATGACTTTTTTCTGCGCGGAGTTGCTCTTGGCAACTTCATCGGCGTTATCCACTACGTTTGCTAGGATGATACCCTGGATATTCTGTACTTGTTCAAAATCCACATAACCCTCAGGAGCACGGTTGGTATACTCAAGGTTTTTAGTGAAATATGTTCCGTTAGAATTGCTGGTGAACAGGGAGCCCATAGGGTTCATAGGCTTTGTCGTGAGAACGTCTACCTGGATGCTATATGGTGTTGATTCCAAAATGGTATAAGCATCCTCTTTAAGCCCGCCATGGTCATGGGGGAACTCTGCGCGGTCCCAGTTAATTGTGTCATCAGTAACATAGCTGCATAGCACTTGTCAGTGTCATAATATATATCACTGAGACCCAAGGAAATGTGACATACAGTGCCATCTCATCTGTGCCTTTGCTCTTGACAGCGGCAACAATAAATTTCTGTACTCCTGCGATACCAGCCAACCCATCAACAGTGCTATAGCCGTTTAATTTGGGCTCAACCTCAGTATCAAAGAAGTTATCCGAAACCACTAGTTTGCGATGTTCCGCAAAGCTATCTTTGCCATTGACAATACAAACTATGGTGTAGTCCTTCGCTTCACTGAAGATTTCGGTTCCACGAGCAAAGATACAGCTATGAGTGTCATCTCTAAGCTGCTTCATATCGCTGTCGAAACCATCCTTTGTATAGTATGTCTGCAAGCCGACATATCAGCACCATTTATGTCAAGAGAACCCTAGAAAATGAACTAACTCACCACTTCCTTGCAATTGAGTCCGAAGAAATCATCATCCTCACAGATTCTGCCAGCGTAAAGTATTAAATTCGGTTTTTCCGCATGAAATGAGAAGGCTGGCTGAGTATAAGACGCTGGGTATTTGGCCTTGAACTTCTGCCAGCTCTTGCCCTGGTTTTTGGTGTACCAGTGCTCGGTATCCTGTCCCAGAATGAAGGCCCGCTTCTTATCGAATGGATGCTCGATCAGATCCCATGCATCACCCTCTGGAATATCCTGTACTTTTTGCCATTTCTTCCCATCATTATCTGATCGCCAGATGTTTCCCGCTTTCGCATCTAATGTTAATATGACCTGCATCACAATCAGCTTACAATCCGGCAGAACACAGAATAATATCTCTAATGAGTAATACCGAACTATCATCGAAGTAAAAGAAGATTGCAGGTATGTTGTCAAATTCCTTTGAGTTCACTTCCGGACCTTTTGCATAAGCAGCCTAAAAGCGTGACATATCCTGTCAGCTATCACAACGGTATATTTAATCCATTATCAAATTCTTACAGTAGATAGCAACGCAGCTGCGAGCGACCAAACCCTCAGCAGTTGCATATTGGGCGATATGAATGGAGAAGAGGCGTTGTTAGGCCGCCGATCACAAAGGTGACGCTGTTGGTCCGAGCACAAATATCGATAAGTTCGAAATGGTGGCGAGGTTCACTCCGAGACGAGGACACGGTTTGATAAGAAGCTTGATAACTCTTTTTAAAATAAGCAGATAGAAACGAACCTCACACAAAGCAAGGAGAGGTCGTAGTAGATTATCACAATGATGAGGATGAAGATACGTTGCTGGAGGTGGGGGGTCGTCTACTGATAGAAGGGGGGTGGTGGGTTCGAAGTTGCTTGAGTCTTACCTAGCCTGCGGCTGAGACCATTGGTGGGACGCGTGGAATTGCGACTTTGACTAATAACAGCTTAGGTGGCCGCATCCAGCGATCTGCAGCAACAGTCCTCTCATGTTCATGCCATAGATCCTGGCCCTGACATCGCCACATATCGCCAGAAACTCGTGTTTCGTTATTTCCCTTTGCCTTGCTTTTATTTTAGGCCAGGCGCTGTTTCAATTTCAACAGCATGTACATGTATGTACCTGCATGATATTGGAGCGCCCACATACCGTTACACTTAGTAGAACAGTTGAATTCATTGCAGTGACTCATCACTTGAGGCTCTTGATACTGTTCTACTTTTCTACTTAAGCTTTGCTTTCTCAACAGATATATATTGGGTTTAATACAATTGTATAAGCGATAAATGATTCAAGTAAGCTGTAGGTATGTAGGCCATAAAGCACCAGAAAAATTACGAAGTCAAACATTGAAACATTGATTTAATTGTGATACAAAGACTTACTTTAAGCACTAATATTTGAAGTGATTAATGTAAGGGATGAGAGCGAAATTCTAAAAGCTACTGAGCTAGTTATCCGAAACGAAACACAACGCCTACTGAAATGCCCCCCAGCATGCGCCCATAAACAGTGAATAGTTAAAAGACCCGGAAGGACCAGGTAGGTATAAGAAGAAATCAAAAGATTATAATTCACGAGAAGCTCCCTCTGAGAGGAATTTGGCTTCTGAGGTAGATGTTTGACCACCATGTACCCCTTGTATCGTGGTAGGTTCTTTGGAGGTCTCATGGGCCCGGGGCATCTCTACCTCATTTCCAGCTGTAGCCAAAAGCCATAGTATCACCAATATAGATATGAAGCCCCACAACAATCGTATCCTCCCTAAGGCAGCATTAGCGACATTTCAAACAATCCACAAAGCTATTCGGAGTAAAATCACATACGAGAAGCCCTCTGCTTCCACACAAGCTCCATCTCCTGCTGCTTATCGATTTTCCCTTGTACATTCTCTAATCTCTTCCTGTAAGCCTGTACCTTCATCTTCTCTGCCCCGAGCCGCTCCTGAAGCTTTTGAATCGAAACCAGTTCTTCTTGGAACCTTTCGATCCCTTTTATCTGAGCCGCAAATTCCTTCCGGCAGCCGATATCGCCATCATCGAATTCCCGGAGGACATCCTCTGCTGCACTTCCAAGATTTTTAAGCTGTTCGCCCATCAAGCGGATCTCCTGCAGTTTCCGCGACACCGCGGAGTAAGTGGTTTCTAAACGTTGCATCTGCCGCTTACTTGTTTCCTGAAGGTCGCGAACGGCAGTGGAAACTTCTCTGCCCAGAAGATTAGAGTGCGAGTCAACGAGGCAAACAGACACCACGGAGACCTACAACTGCTGCTCCGACTGTAAATGCACTGAGGGACCCCTATCTCTTTCCCGGTCTCGTTCCCTTTCCTGCTTTTCTGCCATATCGGCTTGCAACGAGTCTTTCCGGCTCATAGGCTGTGAGCTTGTATCTCTATGATCCTCCATTTCTAGTTCCGCCGCTACTCGGACACGTTCATCGTGGTTTCTGTGATGGTGGCGTTTGAAGTTGAGTGTGCCTGCGTGAGTGTTGGAGCGTATCAGAGGTGCAGGGGGCTTGATCTTGAAATCCCCCATGTTCGTTGGTTATGGTTTGTTTGTAGGTGTTGCGAGAAACGACAGGCTGTTATTCAACTCCAGGGGTGTCAGGCACATGCTCTTTCGGTGCAGTCCCACAGTCTCGGTAACTAAGCCTTTGCAGGTTGAGAGCTGGCCACTAAAGGCCCGTAAGGGGAAGTAATGCAGGTCCGGCCGTGGAGAGGCTCCTGCCGATGCTAGTGAAATCCGGGGTACCAGATGCAACCTAACATTTTGGTCCTCAAGCACAATACTGCGATGAAATGCGCGCAGTGGCACCACTTAATGTTGCAAAAATAGCTTAAAGTTCTCTAGAATAAATTAACTGCTGTATCTCGCGAGTTCCAAGAACTACGTGCATACATTTAAGAAGCACTCCGAAAACATTGATGTCTCACAGCGACTGAAGGCGGCGAGCTATGGATTTTGACATAGGGATATGTATATTTAATAATGCCCCAATATTGATTGCAAATCTTGTTACATGTATGTATATCTCCCCAGGTATCTGGCCTAGCTATGGCACGGTACATAAGTACATGTAGGTACAATTAAAGGAAACACAATGTCTCTAGAAGGTGCCTTTATAGACACACATATTAAAGTCACAATTCAAATTCTCGATCATACATGTAGTTATGCTGAAATTTGAAAGTGGGTTTGCGCGAGTTTACGCCTGCTTATAGTTCTGACGAGTCATTTTTCTGGGCCGCATATAAACCCAAGATATGTACAGCTTCGACCGAGTATTTTGCAACGTAATGTGTTTCTCACATAATTTGATAGGTTTATCAATGACACATACTGAACATAGGGATTTAATTTGCATAGCGTATAAGAGATTTGTCTCCAGTTATGGCGATGTGGATGAAATCGTGAAGATAGACCACTAGAGATCATCTGGGGCCACTAAACAATCACTCTCCTCTTTCACTAGAATTCTTATTTCACCGATTTATATCTCCTATACTTACAATCGCTTAGATACTATGGTCAACTGAACGAGAGTAGTTTTCAGTAAGTTTGCCCGGGAAATTATCCTGTTCCGCAACAGGAGATCATACAAATTTTCGGTATATCGTACAAAGGCAGAGAGACAACGACGCGCAAGGATCTAAAGACCAAGTAAAAGAAAATAGAAAAGGAAGGAATGATGAAGGATGATATACGATCACCTCTCCTTCAATGCCTTATTTCTCTTCTCACGCCTCTTCAACCTCTCCACTCTCTTGACATGCATTTTCTCTGCAAGCTTCTCATATCTCTCCTTCTCCGCCTTTGCTTCCCGCTTTGTCTTCAAGGCTGCTATCCGTGCCTGTATACATTTTTACTCGTAAGCTTTCATGTCCTTAGCCTGGGGTAGTAACTGATACGCACCACTCTAGCAGCTTCCTTCTCTTCCTTGAGCTCCTTCTCTCTGGACTTCATTGCGGCCAGGGCCTTTCGCTCTTCAAGGCGGGCTTCCCATGTCTTGCTTGTGCCAGCTTTAGGCCGGAAGGCTTGCTTGGCGGGTTTCCATTGCTTTCCTGGTTGATTGATAACATCTTAGTATTGTTGTCATATTTCTACGTGAAGAAGAAAAAGAATTTATCTCCAAATGCGCAATGAGAAAAATGAGGGGAATAAGAGGGGCATGATGATATTCATTAACATAGAGAGGCGAAATACCATTCTTTCGGGCACCGGCGATGGGCGCAATGGAAGCACCGACAATATCCTGCGCTGCGGGGGCAGCAGTTCCTACTGTCTCAGCCATAATTCGTCTAAATTCTTCTCGGTAGCGATCGGAAAGTGAATTGGGGGCCTGGTGGGTTGTAGTGATAGTAGTCCTGGTGGGGGGGTAGTGGGGAAAGCTTGCGAGCTCGATAACTTTGTGTGAGGCAGAAATTATTTTAGAGATGTTGCTAATAGAATCTCATCAGATGATCAGATTTGATATGATTAACCAGGATCTGTGCCGTGTTATCTGATTGCATGCATCGCAGCCTTTCCCTTTGTGGGCGAGGGGGAAACAACAACTGCCAGGAACTGAGAAAATTTGCAAAGTGGCTTACAGAAGTGGGACTTTTTTCTCAATTCACTTCCCCGATGAGTACTGAAGAAGTTTTGGGGTCTCCCTAGTTCTGCTCTATATATTACGGATATTCATCTGCTTAACCAATCTCGCACAATCCTCCGTTTTTGACAGCTGCTGGTCTAGTAGAGGCAAGGTCAGGGTTTATTTTCCTGCACAAATAATCCCTCGAACTTGTCGTCAGCACCGTCAATCGTCAGAGCGACGTTTCGTTGCCAAAGCGTCCCTCCTCCTCCTCCTCCTCCTCCTCCAGCTCATCAAAACAAAAAGGAGAGTGCTTCTCCTTTTCCTGTTCCCATTGCGCCTATTCTTTCTTTCTTTCTTTCTTTCTTTCTACTTTCTACTTCTGTTCCGTTACATCAACATTACTATGACATCCACTCGATAGCTTTCTTTATTCTCTTTTTATTGTGGTGAAATTATTACCAGGTCTTTCAGTACAAATTTACTATACCCCATCTGCAAGATAACTGGACTCCCGTAAAGTACCGTACCAATGTCCCAGGAACCCATTCTTCTCGATGTCGCAGCGGCGACCAGTATTCATTCAGAGGCTGCAGCCCTTACCGGCTTCAAGGACCTATTGTTCGGCTCGGTGAGTCTGCTGGTACTGCAAATTCAACTACTTTCGAAGCTCATAGAAACTGCGCGCAGATTGCTGGAATGATTGGCAAGACCATTGAATACCCATTCGACACTGTCAAGGTATATCCGCTGTCAAAAATTCAGATCACAGTATGGCAAATTACTCACCCCCGGCCTGCAGGTACGGTTGCAATCGCAACGCGACGATGCCCCACTGCGATACCGTGGACCGCTCGACTGCTTCCGGCAAACAGTGGCGCAGGACGGAATCCGAGGCCTCTACCGTGGGATCTCGTCGCCTCTTGTAGGAGCTGCTGTTGAGAATTCGGCACTGTTCTTTAGCGTAGGTGGACCCTTTGCGCCCAGAGGTTGGTTGCGTCATAACTA